CAAACACCGTGGGTGTCATGCACTACAACACGTGGGTCACATCGAACAAAAGGAACCCGAATGTGCTTGACTGGTTGGTGCTTTGCGGTACCAATGGCGCTACACGTGCCTTCGATGGCATGTCTTCGGGCACTCCGACCAACATTGCGACCAAAGCCCCAAAAAAGTTCACCGACACAATACCTCTGTACGTCAACCACGGCTACGACGAAAAGTCACAGTTTGGAGTCATGGAGGTGATTACTTGGGACAGGGTTTTGTCGGAGGAGGAGATGCTGGCCACCGTAGATTATTTGAAGTGGAAGTTGAGGGCAGGAGCCGTGCTTGAGGCGTCGGAACACCTTGCCACAGAATCCCAGCACAACTTGGATGCTTGGGGCGTGCAAGACTTGGACAACATTCAGTCCAAGACGACCGAGGTCACTTTTGCCAACGGCTACAAAGCAGACCTGGCAGGCTGGACACACACTCGTTACTATGCACGGGGCTTTATCTCGAACAGAAACGAGGTATCCACGGCCGTCGTGAAAGGCCTGACACCCGCAGCACAGTACCTGTACCAGATCTACATGGTCCATGAGCTTTCCAACTGGCAGGGTGAAGCCAAGGTATCCGTGAACCACGGAGTGCAGGCACGAGCCCAGCAGAATGGCTTCAACGAGGCCAAGTTTGCCGGGGTGGCAGTGGCTTCGCCCAGAGGCGAGATCAATTTCGAGTTCCAACGCATCTCCCCCCATTGCCAGCTCAGCAGCATCGCCATCGCAAAAGCAGGACCAAGCACTGTTGCCAAGCCTGCAGACCCGCCGTCGCAGGGCATGTATGCCTGGTTCAAGTGCCTCGTCTGAATTGGTGCGAGCAGCAGTGGAAGTGTGTCGTAGTCGGTCCGACCAGACTTTGAAGTGGTGTTCCTCGAGGGGCTTCTTAGAGCATTAGTGTTTCAGTCTTTGCACACTGCATGTTCATACTGTTGCGTCTCTTTGATCGCCAGCGATGCCTGTGGTAAAGCGCACGCAGAACAAGCAGCATGCTGCCAAGCCGAAGAGAACAGTCCCAACACAGGAGCGAGAACGCGGGATCCGTTTGGCGCAGCTCCGTGGGAGATTTTGAAGGCTACTGCAGCAGGAACAGCGTGTTCCGGAGAGTGGAAGCAGGCTATGGCGCCGACCGGCCCGTGACCTACATCGAGGGCACCACATCGTCCGGCTTTACCTTCGGCGACGTGCTTCCTCCGACCCACAGCATTTGCTCTATCTCTCGTTACAGCAGAGGTCGAGATGGAGGTTCTTCCAGAGGTCGCATCTTGCAGTCCAAGGTTAACAGGAATTGGTTACATGGCCACTGGGCAAACACCGTGGGTGTCATGCACTAC